TATTTTGATTTTTCGTCAGCTTTCAACACCTTTCAACCACATATTTTGGCCACTAAACTCATTAATATGAATGTTCCACCATATCTTATTACTTTTATTTTAAACTATTTGACAAATCGACCACAGTATGTAAGAATCGGTAATATTATTTCTGACACTCTATATTGCAGTACTGGTGCCCCGCAAGGCACCGTACTTTCTCCGTTTCTATTTACTATTTACACTGCTGACTTTAGATCAGCTAATGAATGTCCAACAATTAAATATGCTGATGATACGGTAATCTTGGGTCTAATTAGGAAGGACGACCTGTCTTTGTATATTTCAGAAATTCAAAGGTTTGTGTCTTATTGTAAAGATAACTTTCTTGAAATTAATACAGAGAAAACGAAAGAAATGATGATTGATTTTCGAAAAAAGCGGGTTAAGGAAGAAAGTATCATTATTGAAAATAAAGAAATAGCACAAGTTACATCGTATAAATATCTGGGGGTAATCTATGATAATCAACTGTCGTGGGGAATTTTCTGTGACCATTTAGTTAAGAAACTTAATGTGAGAATGTTTTGCTTTAGGAAACTTAATTCTTTTCAGGTCAGGAAGGAGATAATGCTGTCATTTTATAATTCTATTATTCTCGGATTACTTTGTTACTGCTTAGTTTGTTGGGGTGGGAATATTTCACAAGGTGATAGGGACAGGTTACAGAAGTTTGTTAACAGGTTTGGGAAGATTATCGGTTCGGAACTGCAATCGGTGCACTCAGTCTACGAAGAACGACTAGTTAATAAGTTTGATAACGTGATGTCTGACGAAAGTCACCCGTTACATTCAACTATCGCTAGTTGCGTTATAAAACGCAGCGGTAGACTGAGGGTACCGGCTGCTAACACGAACCGTTATTCTAACTCATTCATTGCGAGGGGCATTTACCTGTTTAATAGTAGGTATGTAAGATAGTTATTATTTATTGCATTGAATTACTTTTCCTGCTTAATTTATTGAAAGAGCGATGTAATTTCCAAGGATTTGGATTAATAAAGTGATGTCTATGTCTATGTCTATGTCTACCTTCCCAGGTAGCAAGCAAATATGGGCCCCATATGGGAAATGCATGGGCCAAAATGTGGGCCCCCTACAGTTTGGCCTATATGGGATCAAGCTGTCTGTGCACCCTAAATCTATAAGGGTCCCATAAAGTTTGGCCCAAATGCAAATGTGGGCCCTTTAAAGGATATATTTGGGTCCCTTACGGTTTGAATTATGGTTTCATTTGGGACCCATATGGGTTTTTCCAAGTTAATTCATGGGCCCATTGTGGGCTCTATCTGGGTTTTTTAAGGGGTTGAATCGGGGTTGAAATGTAAGGGGACCCTATAAATTGGCCCATATGGGAAAGAGCTGCCTGTGCACTCTAAATCCATATGGGTCCCATAAAGTTGGCCCAAATTTATTTATGGGCCCTTTAAAGAATATATTTGGGCCCCTTAGATTTGCATTATGGTTTCATTTAAGACCCATATATGGGTTTTACCAAATTAATTAATGGGATCATTATGGGATATATCTGGGTTTTTTGAGGATCGAAATATAATCAATCGATCTCACGTGATGTTAGGTTAGTTTAACTTTATTATCCCGTTTTGTAATCCCCCGTTTTATAATAAATATTAAGTAGTATTTACATAGAAAGGATTTTGTAGTTTTTTTTCTCTTTTGTGTGGGTAGCACACCTTTATTAAAAAAAACCAAATCACATATTCAAGTCATATAAGCACAGCACATGTACACATAGATAATATAATACCCCTTTAAAGATTGTTATACAGTATAATGTTTTGACAACATATTCGCTATGAATTATAATTGGTTAATAATGTGTTTCCATTTGTCATTTCCCTTTTTTTTTGTTTTTATTGAAGTTATATTCAATTATAGATTTTAATTCAATTGTAAAAGTGTGTTCATTACAATTGTGTAAATCTCATTAATAATGTTAATGTTACTACAAGGATTTTGTAGTTTTCATTTATGGTTATATACATTAGCCTATCGACTGAGCAGCGTGTAACTGGAACGTACGTATAATATACTGTATATATATATATATATATATATATATATATGTATATATATATATGTATATTGAAGGAAGTTAGCCGTTAACACTGCTGAATAAATATAATATAAATCATCAAAGGTACATATACAGTGTTTAATAAGGACATGATGGAACATCGTAGGCTATATACACTATATATATATTATATATATATATATATTATATATTATATATATATATGTATATATGTAGTTTAGCAATGCAAATTATCATTAGTTTAGCAATGATTAAATAGTTAGTCGTTATTCTCATTCTATAAAACGGTCTCTAGAGACCAAAGATTTATAGATCTCCATACGCAGTTTGATAATCATCGTCCGTATTTCACGAAACATCCTCAAGTAATCATAATGACATTTGAGCGTGCACGCACGTACAGTACATATCACGTTTTTAGAGTAGTTTTAATGACCGATTGACGTCGGCAATGAGTGGTAAACACGTTGTTAATTAACGCGCTGATGCGACATCAGTCATTTTAATCGAAGGCTATATAATCACTGTAATTAATTATTATTAATTTAAGCATAACATTTAACATTCGAGTAAGCGCCAGTATTGAGCTCATGGGCCCAACTCAAATAATCCCCGCACAGAAAACAATTTTTTTTAACTAACCAGTAGTGATGGAAGACAAAATGAATGGTAGGGTTGGGGACGCCCTGGCGCGCAGAGAACATTTTTTTATCAATGGTACTTTGAGTATGCCTTAATTGGCATACGTAATTTAGACTCATGTACCGTAGTAGAGGCATAAATATTTTTAATTGTCTTACAATACAAGTGAAAAGAATTGAACACATACTCTATATAAGGGCTTACTGTACAAATTGTTAACAATACTGCGACAGCTCCGGAGCACCAAGTGGCTTTTATGGAACTGATTTATATTGTTTTGGACACCTTTATTAGACATAGTTAATTTTTTGAGGGTTTATTTTTTATTTTGTGTGAAGTGACTTTTTGCATCAGTGATAATATGGTTAAAGCACAACGTAGTATATATACTCTGCCTATCCAATTTCAACTTATTCGTATTTTTGCACCATTTTGAGCAGCAAGGGTCCAAACAAGTTTAAAAAAGTGCCACTAATCGACAGTGATACCTTTGATGCTCTCTCTTTCATGGTAAACAGTCACAAATCTACTAAAAACTATTTTTTCTCGAAAGGTGGGCCTTTCTGACGAAGACCTTTCCACACCCGCTGTAGCTACCCCGACCCCGTCGCTAAACAACGCTCTAAATTTAAAGGAAACCTTATACTACAAGCTTCTTAACGTTTAATCCTGACTCATATTCCTTTATATTTCGTATCAAACGGACATTACACATTTGTTTTAATACACATTCTATTGCAACATGCATTGTTAAGATAGTGTAGATTACGAAAGGAAACATCAGTTACATAATTTGTATGTGATGAATGCCCTCGAGATGTGCTTCTCTGAACCTCCAAAGACAAAAATAATAAATAAGATAGAAAAATAAGCACCTCGGCGCTTATTTCATTATTTACAGTATGCGTGGCTATAATATCCAAGGTTTCAGCATTATTTCTAGATCAGGTTGTTAGCCATATTCAAGTTCATATTTATATTTATGTATTTTAAAGACATTTTGTTTGTTGCAATGTGAATATAAAGATAATAGTTTGAAAAGATATTTATTTTTATTTTATTTATTTACTAATATCTTTAGCCAGGATGACACAATCATTTTAAAGAAATGTTTTTCATTGTGGTCCTGGAAGATATAACTATTTAACAAATTGATTCTTAACACAACGGCGATATTGCAAAAGGGAAAATAATCACAACCCTTGCACCTTATTTTCTACATGTTTGTACAGTTTACCTTATAGCCAACTGCCAGAAGATTCCACCTCCATTCTAATTATGAAATATGGAGTTGAGTTCAGACTAGTTTAAAATCATAGTCTAAGTAACTATAGTAATAGACTTTTGCACTTAGACTAATTTATTTTACAGACTGACTCTTCTGATTTATTGTATCCTCGAAAAAAGTACAAAATGGTGACCAAGTAATGGCCAAGCCTAATCAAGCTTGGCACCACTTAGCTGCAATACAATACTACAATATTAAATGAATATAAATAATATAAGAATTAAATTCAATACACTATACAGAAACACAATAATATTAATAATCACGTTTAACATTAGAATGTTAAATGATTTGAAGTTCTCTGATGTTCTTGATGTGTTTTTTGAGATTCTTGATTGTAAATTTAAAACTCAATTCAGCTATTTTAAGGCGATGTTTTAATTGTATTTGTGTTAAACATTTGAAAAAAAATACTATACAATAATAATAATAATAATAAAAATAATGATAATAATAATAATAATAATAATAACAATAATAATAATAATAATAATAATAATAATAATAATAATAAAGACAATGGCATTATTCATTCAGTTGGGCAGAAAAAAGCATATTTTGATTTATTTGTTCTTAATTCAAGAAGCAAATTATTCCAAATAATAGTGCTTTTAAAAGCAATATTATTTGACCAAAATTAGTATGACACGAAAGAATGGTTAATTTCAAACTATTATTAAATCTTGTTTTATATGTATGATCAGTAGTTAAAAAAATGTTGAGGTTATCGGTTATAAAATCGGTATGATGTTTGGATAATACTGAAACATACCTTAATTGAAATGTTACTAAATACTAAGATGTTCTCTGTACACCTGGCAGAAGTTACTCAAAACGTCTTTCTCATAGACAGTTAGATCAACAATATTATTCAGATACATAAACTGATGGTGTGTAGGCCTACTTGTACTGAGTATTCACATTTTTTAAACACCTTTTAATATCCGTAAACATGATACCATACCTTACACGCTTTTCCTGCTAGAGGAAGTCACAAATCTTTGTAACGATTGGTCTCCTGGTCTCTAATGGCGGTTATCTTTATTGAAAAGAATATTAGGTCAATTAAGTCGGAAGTCGGTCAATACAATCTTTCTAATCTTTCTTTTTTTTTTACTTATCTCAGGGCAAACTCAATCAAGTAGTGACTGGTAGATAAACTATAAACATTTTCAAACTGTCTAGAATTAATTGTAATACTTCTATCACAAATAACCGGTAATGAACTCTTCAGCAACAATAAAAAAACAAAAACAAAAACAAAAACACATACGTTAAATAGGTAGCCTATAAAATGGGCTCATCCATTGAGGGTCAGAGGGTAACCTTAAGGACCGGAAGTGTAACAGGTTTTATCCATTATTCATCGACTTACCAAATACACATAGCAAGCCAATTATTTAACAATGCGTTAGGTCAACACATGCAATGAATCTATAGATTAATCTAAGATAAGAGAACAGCATTGACAATCTACAACACATTGCAAATGAAACTTGAAACTGGCATACATTTATGTATGCCAATATGTTTTTTGTTTCAAGCAATTGAAACATTGCCAATTTTTATAGTCAAATACCTACCAATGCCGATTAATTTTTCTGATGAATAGCTTTGTCGGAGATGAACATTTGTAATAAATGATTGAACCATTGTACAGAGCGCCCTCTTGACATAAAGCTCAATATATTTACGATTTCATTCTATAGTATGTTGTGTTATAATAGCGGCAAATTGTAATAGAACCCCTAACACAGCATAGATC